TTTCCACCTTTGTAAGAAGAGGTACAAGAATCACAGGCTTCTGAAATCAGGCTGGAAAAACAATGAGAGCTCTGAACTGGTTCCAGGGATCCTTCAGATAGTGGAAAGGCTTGGGTCTTCGGAAATGTACATGGCTTGTATCACACAGGCCAGGACCAAACCACCACAATACAAACTTTCTGTCAGACTAGACCCAAGTTTTCTGAGCTAAGTAGTCACAAACTAAGATTCTTTGCAGGGTACCCCGACTGCTAATACTCTCATTCACTGAATTTCAATGCAAATCAAATCAAGAGGACCAATTTGGCATCTCCCTAGTGACCATCATTACATTCTAAGATGAATTAGCAATTTAATTCTAGTAAGGTAAGGCATAAGACAATGTCTTATAAAATATTCTTTGACTTACAAGCATCAGGTTACTTTTAATAAAGATCAAGAAAGAACAATGGATAAAGGTAAATAATCTGACTTACACCTGGCTTCAGCATTCATCACATACCATCTTCATCATACTATGAAACAAACCTCTACTCCACTGTCTATGCATGTTAACTGCATCGGGCATTCTGTTCTCATCTATCTGTGTGCCCAAACTTCGTCTGCCTCTTCATGGTTATTTCCTCCAATTCCACACTTCTAACTGCCAATCAGACATTTCCATTTGAATATACCACCGTATCAACAACAACAACAACAAAAAAACAACTAAAACAAAACTTTTTATGGAGCCTCTGAAAATTCAATGTTCCATACTGTACTCCTCTCTACTGAAGGTACTACCTACCTCCAGTCAGCCAGAGTCCTCTTTCTTCTCATTACCAAAAGCCAGCTACTGAAGCCTTTTGGCTTTATCATCAGAATACCTCTTTTATTACCTCTTTCTTTCCATTAGCTTCCCTTATCACCTCAATTCTGGATTTCCAGAGCAGCCTACCAATTGATCTCCTGCCTCCATACATTCAACACTTATCCCAAGTATTGCATAGTTTAGAAACCGAACTACACACTAGAAGGTATCTATGGACTCACCACACCTGGACCCTGTTCTGAATAAGAATGAATGAGACCTAACAAGGGAGGTAGACATATATACAATACAATGAGGAAAGAGATAATTTAAAGGGTCAGGCAAGGTGCTAAAGAGAGTTCACAGAAGGATAGAATGGAGAATAAGTGGTAGGGGAATTCCTAATAGAAATACACTGAGTTGAATGAGGAAGAATTACACGTGGTGAAACACGGGAAGGGAGAATATTCCAGGCAGAGTGGGAAATGCAAGAGGAAAACATAGGGATCAGCAAATAAATGGCTGGACTATAGGGTACTTGAAGGGTATAGCTCAGTGGTACAGTGCATGCTTGGCATGCACACGGTCCTGGATTCAACCCCCAGTACCTCCATTAAAAAAAATTTTTTTTAAATATCAAAATCACTATGTAGTACACCTAAAACTAACATAATATTGTACATCAACTCTATTTCAATTAAAAAAAAACAAAAACAAAACCAGCAGCACACTGTTTTGTTTGGCCCTCAAGCATGGTTTGTTGACCCCTGCACTGGATCATAATTCTTTGTTCCTAACAGAATGTCTTCTTTTCAGCAATTACTCATTAAGGGTTTGATTTACCAGTGGGGGGATTGGGGTGAAGCGGTGCTGATTATTTTCTTTTAGTTAATATTAAAATCTCATATTTAATATGGCAAAATTCACACCACTACAAATGACAAGTAAGCTATCCCAATGTTCAGACAGGAACTGCTGATCCCTAGTGACAGGATGGATTAAACCCAACACTAGGCTTTAATGATTCTGTTGGTGCTGCCACTGTCCCGTGCTGACATGAAAGGAACGTAGCTAGTTATGATGAGGAAACACATATAAGGAAGGAGCATAAGGATTAGAGTTTTAATTTACAAATCAAATGTATGAAGGGGAGGGTATAGCTCAAATGGAAGAGTGCATACTTAGCACACACAAGATCCTGGGTTCAATCCCCAGTACCTCCTCCAAAAATAAATAAATAAATAAATATATATATATATAAATAAATAAATAAACCTAACTACTTCCCCCCCTTAAAAAAATAAAATAAAATAAAATAAAATGTATTTGTATTTAAGGAGTTAACTTTATAATTTTGACTTCCAAAACTCTACAAACAAAATTTTACTCTTCCAATTTTATATATATAGTACTTAGGAACAGATTAGCAAATATAGACTTCACTGCATTTAATAAAGCATTTTAGGTGATTCGAAAATAGCACTGCTATTTTAATAAGACATGCTCTGAAAAATTTCTAGTCCACAAAACATTTAACACAGTATCTCATTTTTATCAAACAAATATAATGTCTAGAAGGTAATTTTATTAGCAAAGTAACATAGAGCTTTCCAGTTTCCACTTTAAGATGAAAAATTAGAAGAAATGACAGTTCAGATTAGGCTTATAATTTTCCAAAGCAGTAATATGAACATTTCAGCAGTACTTAAGATATATTATAGGTTAACAAAAAAGAAGCAGCAGCAACACATGGAATAAAGCTCTTCTATATCACTTTTTTTTTAAGACACCAAAAAAACAAATTTCCAAAATAGCCCTATCTTTTTCTACTACAGAAATCTCTGAACATTTCTTCAGTCTTTTCAATCACAATAAAAATCTCTCTCAAGTCTTACAGTTGGAGGTAGAAGTCAATAGTTAAGGCCTTAGTAAGGAGAAAAAGAAACTCAGTGTCCCTGTCGACTAGGATATCAACTCAGTGTCCCTATCAACCTATCAGGTTAAGATAAAGCTCAGGAAGAATCAACCCAGAGAAAAAGGTTTTCTCTTTGCCTCTCTCAACCAGAAGGATCAATTCTGGGCTCCCAGATTCATCACATATGTGGTTCTGGTTTATTTATCAATGCCAGCACTAATCCCACTAGTTAAGCATTCAATGTTCTGCACTGGACATATTTTATATATATATTTTTAATATGCTGTAAGTATTTCTTAAATTTGCACCTGATTCACCTTTAAGTATAAATGGCAACTCAGATGCAGGTAAAGGGCCACTGAACCCTAGCTCCTTCCAGCCTCCATTCCCTGTGTTACCCTGATCCCACATGGGGCAATTTCTCTTCCCTTCAGCTGTCTGCTCTATCTGTGTTTCACTCTCTGGTTGTGCAGCCACAGAACTGATGGTGCCAAAGAGAAACAATGATGTTAAGCCACCAAGGAAGAATCTTCTTCAGATTACCAACTATGAACCAGGTGCCTCATATATGTTCTCATCTAATCCTCACATTAGCCTGATTCAGTATTATTATTATTATCTTTGACTGAAGTATAGTCGGTTTACAATGTTCTGTTAATTTCTGGTGTCCAGCATAGTGATTCAGTTCTGATACATTATTACTATCCCAATTTTTCAGATGAGAAAATAGACTTGGAAAGATGAAGGAAACTGCCTAAGGACTACAGTAACCAACTACCCCAGTTCGCCTAAGATGGAGGGGGTTCCTGGGATGTGGGACTTCAGTTTTAAAACTGGGACAGTCTCAGGCAAAGTTCATCACCCTATGAAGGACAGACAGCCCTTTCACAGGTTCAGATCTGAGCTAGGCCAGTTGGGCTCCAAAGCCCAAACACTTTCTCTCAGAACTCCTTCTCCCAAACTACACTCCCTCTCAAACCTCAGAAGCCCCATTATTTTCCTCTTACACAAGTTCCTGGGCCTAACTTAATTCTGTTGAAAAATATTCAGCCTCTTATTCTACCTTTTCCCTTGCAAAGTATACAAATCTTTAACTCCCTAATACAGTGCATCCAAAGGACCACCACTGGCAGCTTGAATGGGACAATTAAAAATTAAAGTGAAAATTATAAGGCAAAAGGGCCTACAGAATACTGATTTCTTTTCAATCTTTTTTCTCCTTTACTGTGATTAGCAGTAAAATCCCTTTGTGGGTGAGGAGGTGGGGTAGTGGTTAGGAAACTAAAAATAAATTGTTCCTGCTTCAAGGACGTGAGGGTGGGAAAGAAGTTAGCTTTTTTTTTCCCCCCACGGGGGACTGAGGTAAAGAACATCCTAATTTAAAGTGAAAAAATAAATGTAGTATAAGGAAGGCAGAGCAGTTCCTCGGGTTCACATGTTTTAAGCGATAATATTAGCAGGTGGCTGAAAGGTTAGTAGTGGCTCAGAGAGAGGAAGTGTGTCTAAAATTTACATCATCAGGAAGCCTCAGCCCTGTTACTGATCCTTATTCTCCAAATCCCTATTCCAACCCCTCAGAACCCCAGGCTTGGCCTTGGGCTTACTACGTCCTCCACTGCTACTGTGTCTCCAGTCTCAGGAGCCACCAATGGGGCTTAAAAAACTGAGAAGGTGGCATTGAGCATGTGCTTCTGGCAATCCAAGTAAGAACCAAGTAGGAACTACAGAATGTTTCCGCAGGAAAATAAATTTTTCTGAACAACTCAATGTCATACCGAAACTACTGTAGCAAAACTGTATGCACGAGAACACCTAGGTACTTCCTCAAAGGCAACAGGGCTTTACTTCCATAATACCCAAGGCAGTACTCAAATGAATGTTTAATAAATAATATTTATTACATGAAATTCCTGTGCTTGAGAAATTTCACTGTTTTTCTCTTCGATCTTACTTCACTAACTCCCAGCACGTGAGACACAGCAGATGAGTCAGTGGATACCCTCTGCACCCTGGCTACTCAATTATGTGGTCCACAGACAAGCTGCATCTGCATCACCTGGGACCTTACCAAATCAGAATCTATACCTTAAAAAAAAATCCCCAGGTAAATCGTATGCATATTGAAGTTTGAGAAGCACTGCCTTATAAGTTTGCTACATACACAGCCTTCCAATCCCCGACTCCAACATCCTCATCAGTGTGAGAGAAGATGGAGCACAGGGCCAGCAGTTAACCCACGGAGGAGTTGGGACACTTGTCATGCCGGGGCTACCTGGCAGTCTCCCATCCGCTCACCTTGATACGCTCCCCATCAATCTCCACTGCTCGTTCTCGGAAGTCCACCCCGATAGTAGCCTCGGTACGGTCAGGGAAGCGGCCGGCGCAGAAACGGTAGGTCAGGCACGTTTTGCCCACATTGGAGTCGCCAATCACGATTATTTTGAAGATGCGGGAGCGAGCCGGAGGCAGAAACGCTGAGGCCCCTGACATCGCACCGCTGGACGAGAAGCTCGCCTCGAGCGACGACTCTATCTCTGAAGCCATTCTCCTGACCCGCCCCAAACTGAGGGAAGGAGACGCAGAGAGGCAGAGAGGTTACGCCACTGTGAGCGAGCGCGCCTAGCTCGCCGGCTCCGCTGCGCAACGTCCCAGGAGCCACCTCCCTCCAGACCCACAGCGCGCGTGCGCAACCTCCCACGCCCGCCCCCGCAGGTGTGGCGCCCACCAGCCCGGCCTCGCTGACCCTCCCCCCGGCCCACGGCCCCACCCCAGCGTCACTCGGCCGGGCTCCCGTCTACCTGGGAAGGCACCGGGCCTGTCGGGGGCTTGACGGGGGCGCGGAAGGCCAGCTGCCGAGCAGCTAAGCAGAGCACCGAGGCCCGGCGCCCAGGCTGGCCCGGCCCCGCCACGTCCAAGGCTACCGCCCACCGGAGGAAGCCGCGCGAGCACTCTGGGGGCGGGGAGAGAAAGACAGCTGAAAGGAAGGAGGTACCACCAGGCACTCTCTCGCGAGAGGGCCGAAGAGCCGTTTCAACGGGGGCGTGTACCTGGTGAGGCTACGTAGTCTTCGGAAGGCTCGGGCGTCGGGTTCGGTGCTATCATCGACGTACCGTTGGGGCTTCCCTGGACTTGGAGGTGGAGGCGGGTTCCCTTACCTTGCTGCCGGGGCCTGCGGTGTCGGCTGTGCTCCCTGTCTCCTCGAAGTTCTCTGGATCGCTGGAGTTGGGACAGCGACAACGGCTGGGAGAGGTGGGGCCCGAGGAGCTGCTGTAAGCCCCCGGGGCGCGGGAGACACTTAAAAGCGACCTCCGGGCCGCGCGGAGCTTGAGCCTTGGCAGGAGCATGGGGTGTCCGGGAGCAGGTGTGAGTTCGAGGCCGCCCGCCGCCTCTGCACAGAGAATTTTTTTAGTCGCCCTAGCAATATTTCGATATCCGCGGGACCCAGGTGCCCAGGGTTCGGGGCCCAAGAAGTTGAGCAGGTCACAGGTGGACCACCTCAGGGCATTGAACCCAAGAGCTGTTACTAGACGGCGTCTCTGGTGAGAATAAAACTCATTGTTCCCTCGTGCTTGGGTGACGGTGATGTAGCCATTAAATGTTACAGAGCGCACGCGGAAGTTGTCTTTGTCCATATATCTGAGGACAATATTATTAGACGAGCCCACTCAACCTTAAAGAATCCCCTGGATTACCATGAATTCTTGCGAGGGAACCTAGCATTCATTGAGTCATAGAAAAAGTCCAAAATATGCAAACACTGCTTTTTGTGGAAAGCTTTGTTTTGTCTTGTAATAACAAGAGTGGGTTTTTGGTTTGGTTTGGTTTTTTTCTGTTTGAGCGTATGGTTATGCCGTTTGCAAATACAAGGACTACAGAGAGGACATGGCGTCCCTTAAATAGAATGAGGGGAACAATAGAGCACTAGAAGTCCTAGGAAAGGAGATAAACTGCTTATTTCAATAGATAAAATGAAAATGTGGCCAGAGCAAATTAGTGGTAGAACCTGAGCATGCCGAGTTGCCAGGAATTTGCAAAAGCCTTATTATACAATAGTTTCTGTTGTGGTAAAAGAAAAACTTTATGCAGTTTATTGATATACCAAGTTCTGTTAGCCAGGAGGAGAAAGTTTACTCACCTTGTTGACTGTGTATGCCAATTACATTTATTAAGTTTCCTGTGACAGAAACCAGACCATGGCCTGGAAAATCCTAAATGTTCATCTGTGAGGTTATTTCCGTGAACATTAATCATCCCAGAAACTATGAGAGGGCCTTGAAATATATTCCTCTAATCTACTCTACTTATCCCATTTAAAGGATAGAATCTGAAGATTTAATGATAAAAAGCAGTTGAAGAATTCAAAGCTGCGGATAATCGGGTAATTTCAAAAGGTGGTGAAAAAAGCATCATGACTCTGCATCCCAAGACCCTTGCTCTTTCTTTTTTGTGTTCTGGCTGTTTTGGTTTAGCTCATGCTAAACTGCACCAGAAATTCTTTTTCTTACCTGTTTATCCTATTTATATTCCATTTCTAGCTCAGAAGTCTCATCTCTGAAGCTTTTCCTGATTACTTCAGTTCAGAATGTTGTTGATTTATTCTAAATCTAATACGCTTTTTGGGTATTGCTCATTGGGCTTATACTGTCTTTGCTGTTTAAGTTTCATAGTTATATGCTGTGCCTTTCAACTAGATTGTCAACTCTTGACTACTGACTTTCAGCTCATTGTTATTCAGCAAATGATGAATAAGTGAGTGAGGTGAGAAATTGCTTGTGAAGGATTATTAATTTGAACCCTTTACCAGTTATACACAGTTCAGCACCACTCAGATGGAAAAATCATCATAGACACTTGCCATTGTTATCAGGAATTAGATATTTTCAATTTGCAGTTTGAGAGATTCCTTATGTGACTAAAGTGTATGTCACTCTTCTTAACTGAATAACCCCAGAACCTCCAGGTTTGATGCCTGAAGGAGATTCTACTGTCAGGAAAAGTGATGGATTATGCAGCCCTATTTCCTGAGAATTCATTTTGTCCTTGGAGTTTTTCACTACTTGCTGCCAAAGCATAAGCCACTTGGCCTCAAATATAAACATGAACCCTTCCTTTGCTTAATAATTTACCACAGAGCTGAGGAGAGACTGAATTCGGATCCTTTAGCAGTACAACTGGAACATTATACATGGTTCAGGGTAAGATGGGTATTTGAAAGTATTTTTCTAGTAGGAAAAAAAAACTGAATGGATATTAAAAACATAAAATGAGGGTAACCTTATGTACAAGATGTAACTACTCATTTTCCACTTTTGTTTACTGAAGAGATGCCACCTCCCTGTGGCAGAGCCATTTTTTAACTGGTATTACCAAGGAAAAGATCCTACACTTCACTCTTTAAATTCAGACCTGAGGATGGAGGACAAAAGAGAGTTCGCTTGCTTGCCTACGTAAGAGCTTATCAACCTTGGCATATTTCGAGCCATATAATTCTTTTTTTTTTGTAAGTATAGTTGATTTACAATATTAGTTTCACGTGTCTAACATAGTGATTCAGTATTTTTGCAGCTTATACTCCATTATAGGTTATTATAAGATAGTAGCTATAATTCCCTGTGCTATACAGTATATCCTTGCTGTTTTATTTTACACATAGTAATTTGTATCTGTTAATCCCATACCTCTAATTTGTCCCTCACCCTTCCCCTCTCCCTGTTGGTAACAAGTTTGTTTTCTATATCTGTGAGTCTATTTCTGTTTTGGATATACATACATTTATACTTTTAAGATTCCAGATATAAGTGGTATCATAAAGCATTTGTCTTTCGCTGTGAGCCAGATAATATTTTGCCGTGGGCAGCTGTCCTGTACATTGTAAGACGTTTAGTAGCATACTTGGCTTCTACCCACTATCTGCCAGTGGCAGATAGTAATATACTAGTTGTAACAGCCCAAACCATCTCTAGACTTTACCAAATGCCCCTGGAGTTTAAAATTATGTCCCCTCCCCCTCTCATTGAGAACCACTGGCCTGTATAAGGGCTCTTCTCACAACTCTAGTTTCCTGTCCATCCTATTTGATAGCAGGAATCAGTTCCCCAGAGAAGTATAACGTTGGTCTTGTTGGCCTCCACCAGATTACCATATCACTGTTTAATACTACCCCAAATATCATATGATGGAAAGTACATTGTAAATAACAAGAACTTTAATTTTAGTACCTAAACAGTAAATTAACATCAACATTTTATAGGTAAGTTTACTGAGTTTCAGAATTCTTCAAGTCATATCTTCATAAGTACATTCATTGAGGATTTATTATGTATTCTATATATAGCACTGTGCTAGTGGTTGGGGCAGGGGATAAGATAAAATATGATTTTTGTCCATGAGGAATTTATAATCTAGCCACCAAACCAAGTTAGCACGGAACCATTAATGAATAACATAGGATAAAACAGAATGTCAGATTTTTTTCCCTAGAGGTGTTTGGGCCTAGACTTCAAAAATTCTAGATGTGTTAAAGTATGAAGGCACACTGGGAGCTAGGATGGAAGGCCTTCTTGTAGTGGACAGTAAGTTAAAGATGAGTGCCTGTGGTAGTGGCATTCTTCTAGGTAATAAACTCAAATTATGAATAAGCAACACTTACAGATATTTGATATATGTGCTAAGTGCAGTCATGGTGGCCTCTGTTGTTTTCTTTATCTCATTCTCCCTTCCCTTTAGAATGTTTGATTTTATAGCATTTCCAGTGTTTGACACATCAAAGGCAAACTATAGACAATGATTTTGAAGAGGATCTAAATAACTATGAAATTTAAGTATTAAATGTTCTAACTTGCAGATAGAGAAGGTACTTTTTTAATGTCCACATTTATAAAAATTTATTTTTTAAATAACTACACAGAAAAATCTCAATTTTAAGTTATACTCTGATACTAGAACAATAAAAACATAAGCATTTTTTCTTCTTTTTTTAAATAAAAGGATAAAAGGAAATCCATCTACTTTACTTGGAAGCCAAAAGGAAAATCTCTTAAGTAACTGGTTCAAGGACAAAAGCCACAATTGCAGGTTTACAAACTATTTAGAAATTAATGACAATGGGGACAATAAAATTGAAACATAAGGATTTGGCTAAAGTAGTATGTAGGGAAAAAAAAGATTGATGTTTTAATACTAACCAATACAGAGTGAATAAAAATAATTTGCCTAACACTTATGCAGTATTTAACATGTCAGACACTATTGTGTTTTATAAAAACTAACTCATTTAATCTTACCAACATACCTACGAAGCAAGTAATATTCTCTCTTTTATAGATAAGGAACATGAGGATCATAGAGGTTACATGTCTTTCTGAAGTTCACTCAGCTAATAAGTGATGAAGTGTATATTACATGATATGTGTTATAGTATGATATATAAAGGTAAACTGTGATAAGCTAAAGATGCCTATTGTAAAACTTAGAACAACAACAAAAATAATAAAGAAGCATAGCTAAGGCAGCCAATAGAGGAATTAAAATGGAATATACTAAAAATCAGTCAAAAAGAAGTCAAGAAAAGAGGAAAAATAAAAATGTAAGATTCAACAAATATCAACCATATCAATAATTAAATCAATTCTAAGTGGTCTAAACACTGGAATTAAAAAGATACCCCTCTAAATGAGAAAGCAAGGCCCAGTTATGTACTATTTACAAAAAGCATCATCAACATAAAGACACAGATAAGTTCAAAGTAAAATGATGTGCAAATAGAGTAAAGCTGGAATACCTGTATTAGTGTCAGACAACGATTTTAGGAAAAAGAATTTGGCCTATCTTCAAGACAGGAGATAAGGAGGGATGTTTCATAATAATAGAAAAGAGTGAATTCATCAAGAAGATGTAGTAACAAAGCTTCAAATTCCATGAATTAAAAACTGACAAAACAGAAGAGAGAAATAGACAAACCTACAATTACAATTGAGATTTCAACATTCCCCTCTCA